GTTTTGTCTCTAATTCTTATCACAAATAGAAAAAGGATATGAAAGGGTCAAATGACCAGAAAACAAAAGAACAGGGAAATTGCATATGAGAAAGCAAACTGCACTTATATTCCAAGTTGGTCTAACACATTTAAGGTATCACACAGCGTATCTATGAAAGGAATGGATGAGGAAAGTGCACTCAAGAAATTTTGATAAGTAAAAAATCACTGCCTTAGAATTCCAAAATTGCACCCAATATAAGCATGATGTAAATTCTCAATTGTTTTCAAGAAGTGGAGAAGAAAAAGGAACATAGAACAGGGCAAAGTTGAATAGAACTCACATCATCTGCAGATATCCTGATTTGCAGCTTGTCTTTGCATTCCGGGCACTTCATCACCCCCTGCAGAATAAGTAGTATTGTCAGCAACACCAATTGCTTACGTTTCAAAAAGGTTTCTGAAGAACAGTTTTCACTTAAGACCAGGCAGAGGTGAATATGAAAGTAATGTGAAGCATAGGCATAAATGAAAACGGTGTATCTAAGAATCACATACAATTCCAAACTGAAAACATACTAGATGAAATGGGAGCATAATGCATCCTATATTTGCATTTTGAGATAGTATCATAACAGGCTCTCTTTAACCAGATTACTGAATAATAGGATAAGCTCCCAGCCAACTCAAGTGTTCTTAAGTTTCATCCAGCATATTTGAGGTGATATTAAAGCTCAAATCAGGTTACCAATAAATGTGTAGCTCTAGGTGATCTTAAAATTATCTCATAAGCTAGGGCTTAAGGTTCTTGAGCAGGATTCAAACCTATTTACCTAATATTGTACTTAGGCACTTAAGTCATCTTCAAAGTCCATACACCTAACTAACACACATTAACTTTTACCTAGTAAGGGCATGGCAAAATACAGTTAAAATCAAATGAAAATACATTTACACGTCTACATAACATAACTCACGTGAGCCAAGCCGCTTTCCGGTCAGGCTTGGCTTTACTTATTCAATAAGCCCTATTTTTCAAATTGGCTTGCTGTCGTGAATCAACCCTGTTCTATTACCCTACATTTAGGATACTTTCTCAAGCCAACAACTTGCTGGCATGACTCACTCACTTCATTTGCAGCAATTAAGAAGCTTGCTATTTTATGAGAACTCGAGAAGTTTCAAAACAGTTCTCACCGATCCATCACAATTTGGACATTCTTTAGATGGCAGCGGCAAGTGAAGGTCTACTGTGGAAGGAAGGTGCACCAACTCAGCTCTGTTATCAGCTATGGCATCTGCAATGGATTCAGCTGTTGCCTTCTCTCCCCTGCGGAGTAGTTTGGAACCTTTAGATAGACATAATTACTCAGTGTGTTTGACATTTTCTTCCTGTATTTCCAGGGAGAGGGTGGAATTGCACAACTAAGATGATAAACAACCACTTAAGACAAGAAAAAGGCAGTGTTCAATACACAACATCACAATGGTGACGCAGCTAGCTACCAACTGCAATTAACTAGCTGCGTCATTGCCAAATCCGAGATAACAAAAGCTGAAGACTAGAATTATCAAAAAAAGTCACATAGGACAGTGGCAGGGGAAAATAAAGGGAAGATAGCAGATTGGTGTATCTTCTATACAGTTTAGACTATGATAAAGGCCATTGCAATAATATTCTAAGAATTAGATTAACTATATTATTGAACAGGAATTGTTTTTAACAGAAAAAGTAAAATCCATCAGTGATAACCTACCTTTTCAATGTATAGTTTTTCACTTGATAATGCACCTTGCCTGACCCTTTGCACATTGTGCATCGCAATGCCTGCCATCCGTTACATGTCCGACAGTCCCTGCAGTTAATGAACCAAGCATCTTCTTTTAACTAAACATACCGTCACCTTCTATAACAAGACATGCCAATCGACTTTTCATTTGACGTATCTTGGCTGCCCATCAGTAGGGAAAAATAAGATGCTCTCTGGCTTTTCGCTTGATTCGTGATTACAACATCAGCTTTTGCATAAAGACATAGAGACCACTAATGAGCAAAGAGAACAAATGTTTTATATCTATCAAACTCTTTAGTCCAGTGGGAATTAAAACCAATGTTGTCAAAGGCGAAAAGCTCTAAAAAGCTCTACAAGTCTAAGGGGGTTTTAGGCGCAAAGAGAAATTATAAGTGTGAACTTTCGTTTTAAAAAGAAGGCGCAATGAAGGATAAATATAAAATTATATATGTAATTGAAAAAAAATAACAAGTTCATTCATAACGTTCTCCTTAACAACTAATACACCTCTTTGCTGATTATATTTGTTGTTTAGTACCACTTAATTCAAGATAGAAATCATTGGCAATGAGGCTGACACCTTAGTGCCTTGCCTACACTAAAGTGCAGCTTAACCGATGCGAAGCGCCCTCTCTCAGCTTTTCTGAGCTTCATGGCTTAAGCACGCCCTAAATGAGCCTTTGACAACACTTATAAAACATGGATTCACTCACTAACACTGAAAAAATCTGAGCATCCAAACCCAAACCTTAAAATAATGGATGGAGTGGTCCAGGACCTTTATATAAATCCTTCCATGCCCTTCACAGACAAAACTTTTGACATGGACCATTAATTAATTTCATTATTTCACCAAAAAAAAAAACATACTTCACATTCAGAAATATAATTTCTAACAAAAAGAAGCATGAGCTGAGATTAAGATTATAAGGAGGGCACCTCTGGCAGAGCACCTTCTTTCCTAGCTCCATCGCAATATCATAAGTACCCACAGTAGCTACCACCTGCAATAAATCAACCAAATATCCTGTGAGCAAAAACCTTATCCAACTAACACTTTCAGCCCAAAAATCCTATTAATTGCAGTCCATGGCCTTTCTATGACATATTAACAAACACTTGAAGACCCAGTTCAGAAAAAGCTCAAAATTACACTTTCCCATTCACGGGCATCTCTGAATATGCTAACAATTCAAACTTTCCAATTCATGGCCTCTCAGTGACATATAAACAAACATTTAACGATCCAATTCAGAAAAAAATTGCTGACAACTAGACTTTCACATTAATGGCCTCTCAGTGACATATAAACAAACAGCTAATGACCCAATTCAGAAAAAATTACTTACAATTATAGTTCCCTATAGTGTCCTCTCAGTGACATATAAACAAACAGCTAATGACCCAATTCAGAAAAAATTACTTACAATTATAGTTCCCTATAGTGTCCTCTCAGTGACATACGAACATAAATTTGGATACACAGTTCAGGGAACTCTAACAAATTAATTTTCCAATTCATGGTCTCTCAGTGGCATTTTAACAAGCATACGACCCAATTATAAAAAATAAAAAAAAATGCTTACAAAGATGGCAGAATAAGAGAGCTTAGAGATGAACTCGGGTACGCCGAAGCCCCTAGGGGCGGAGCCAGCAATGTCATAAGCAAGAGTGAAAGGGGAGAGAACGAGTTTTATAGGGAATTCGAATATGTCAATGAGTTGCTGTCCATAGCGGTTAGTGAAGTGCTTGTACTGAAGGTCTGTGAATTGCTTCAAATTCTTCAGTAGCTTATCAGTCCCTCGCGACATTGCGAAGAAGGAGAAGAAGAAGTAGAGGGGGGGATAGCCGAAGTTTGTCTTGCTTTATCTGTTCCTTTTTTTCCTTTTTTTTTTTCTTTTCTTCTCTTGGTTTGGTTTAGAGACGTTTAATGTAAGGATTAATAATGTATAGCTAATAAAAATCGGAATTAATAATCCAAAGATTATAATAAAAGTACTATATATATATATATATAGGGGTTAAAATATGGGTTTTGTTAACTTTAAAAAAAAGAATTGTTTAGTAAATGAGGATTATTGTGGTCACTATGAACCTGTTTGACGAAGCTTCTAGAAGGCCAAACATATTTTATTCCCCCAAAAGAGTATTTTTTTTTTTAATTTAAGTTGTTTGGCCAATACAAAGAAGTACTTTTGGCCAGCAGCAGAAATAGTTTTTCTGCTTTTGGGAAGAAGCATAAAATTCTAGTATCCTCACCATAAATTTAGATTTTTCAAATTATCCCATACTAATTTAAGTTTTTTTTTTCATTTTTGTTTCTAGTTTTTACCATTCTTTTAAAATTAAAGATATCATATACATGAATCATATTGTAACTTTCCAAATTTTTTATACTAGATGTAACAATAAGTAATTATATTAGATAATATTAAATGTTTTGGTATAACTATATATGTAAGATTGATTTAAATCTTTAATATGTTTGTTTACTTTATGTTTTATATTTTAATTAAATAAAATAAAAAATAATAAAAGTGTCTTACGATAAATATTTAAGTTTATTTTTCTCTTTAAACGAATTATAAGACCTTCGTACTATCCTTTTTGGTAATTTGACACTCAAAAATACTTTTTAGAAAGATTGGCCAAACATTATTTGTTTACCAAAGGTTACAAAAAGTGATTCTTAAAACAATTGGCCAAAACACAAACAATTTTTTTTTTCAAAAATACTTTTGAAAAAGGTACTTCTAAAAAAAATATTTTATTATAAAGCGAGTTGGAGTGTACGTTCAAGTTGATCTCTCAAACTATTACCTGATTTTGAATTAAGTTTCTGCACTGTTCTTCCTCTACTTCTTTTAACATAGTAAAACCTTACTACTTATTTTTGGTGTAAATCAAATTTCTTAGAAGAATTCTGCTCTAGCATAGAAGTCATAAAACAAAATATGCCTACTTTTGAAACGTTCAGATACGTGAGTTATTACATTAACAAAATTTAATAATCCAAAGTGTAGCCTTCTACTTCCTTGATTAATATGCGCTGCCGTGCCGTCAGACGTATCAAGGACCTAAATTTTAGAGTTAATGAATTTAATGTGTAATCTTGTAATATGTACAATTTAGTCATATGCATACATAGTTCAAGCCTCTCCTTTTTAGTATTTTCACGATCTAGAGTGATGTACTTTCGTACCAACCCACTGAAGAATTCTGAGGAAATGAGTGAACATAGCCCTTTACAATTTGAATAGATGATTCACCTAAACTGCTAGTAGATATCCACAACTGAAGTTTAATTTCCAGACACCAGCCCATAGACCTACATCTTCAAAAATGTATAAGATTGTATTACTTGTATCTACAGGTAATTTAATGGGTATTTGTTTCTTTAAATATACTGACAGTGTAAAACAAATTATACAATAATTCAAGACTCTAACCGGTTCTAGCTCCCTTTAGGAAATTGATATACAGGAATCAGGAAATATGAGTGAACGAGTTCAAATCTGTATGTCATCCTCCACCTTCCTGCTTTGTCTCATAAATAACGTTAAACCAGGAAATGCAGAGTTGCATATAACAGAGAACTGGCTTCAGACGCAAAACTGTAACAGGGCAAACTTGAGAGAACTATTTCTCCAGATCAGTATATTAAGAATCATCTTTTCGTCAGCACGAGAACAGTGGCATTGCAAATGAGTGCTTGATAAGTATCTATAGGAGCTTTCGAGTCGACGGAATCCATATTGCCAAATAATTTCAGGCTTTACAAATACCGAATGAGCTCAACTGCAAACTTTCCCTTCCTTGTTGAGTTAATTTCTCCAATCTGAACAAGAGATACATTAGTCAGCAGAAACAATTTCATTTCTCATCACTGAAATCCCCAATAGGATGTAAGAAAATGTTCATTATAAGTCCCAAAATGAGCTAGCACTGGTTGACTGCATAAGCTGGTTTTCACCGACAAGCAATTCAACAACACAAATCCCCATACCTCCAAAATCACTGAACAATATATAATCATCAGTATTGAAATTTGATAAATCTCTTATTCGTACTAACAATATCCTAAAACCAAACAAAGCAGAAAAAGGAGACATGTCTTCAAACAAGCTTAGTATTTAGCCAAATTTCCAACTCAGGCATGTCACGCAACTATAGAACTGACTCCAGCAGTCTTGATAGAAACTCAATCAAAATGAGACTTCTTTAACCAACCTAAAAATTGTCCCAATTGAAATTCTCCAACAACAATATACTTCGCTTCAATTCCAAACTAGTCTGGGTCCGCTATATGAATCCGCACTAACCATGTCCCTCTATTTAGACCCATATCAATCCAATAGTTGAAGATTTAGGTACTCAAGCAAAAGAAGTTCTCTACATTTTTTATTAGCATACAAATTGTGAATAACTAATTTTTTACCACACCCGAATTCTATACTATAAATATTTCGTTTAGGTCTAATCTTGATTTTTTAAACTTTTATCTTACTTTTAATAGCTTTTATTTGAGAAAAATTAAATATATATAGATGTTCACATACTTATAGAACATATTTTATTTCTACTTGTAAAGAGAATGAAAATTTACAAAAAATATATGATTTCTTTTAATTAGAATTTTAATAAGTTATGATATTTTTATTAGTATCATTTAAAGTACATGTAAATAGTTAGTTTTCTTATATCTTTCATGGTATAAAAGTGGTTGAGCAATATTCTTATTTTCATAATTTAATTTATCTTTTAAAATAAAATATATTTAAAAAAAAAAAAAAGAAGAAGAAGAAGAAGAAAACAAAATGAAGTAGCTTGCGTCAAAATTGAAAAGTTTGTTATCAAACTTTATCAAAAGTCTGATCCTTACCTAAAACAGAAAAACACCCACAATCCCCACCATTTTCTAATTCCTCACGTCCCAATCCCACGTTCCCCACTCCAAGCCCTTTGCTAACCACAATGTTTCTTCTATATAAAAGTGGGAAAACATTTTTTTGAAGAGAACATATGAGAAAAAAAATAATACAAAAAGCACATCCTATTCATAAAAAGGAAGAGAACAATTGGAGACAGCCATAAAACATCCAAAAAATACAGCAAACAACAACACAACCCAGTAAAATTTCACTAGTGAGGTCTGGAGAGGGTAGAGTGTACGCAGACCTTACCCCTACACCGGAAGGGTAGAGAGGCACCCACGAAATCAGCCAAAAACCAGCTTCTTTTTCCTCCAAAAACACGGCAAAACGAATCCTAAATTCCAGCAGTTTTTTTTTTATATTAAAACCCAGCTCAAAACCAGCCCCAAAACACCATGAAACTCAAAAGCTTCGGTTGAGTTCGAGGTCGCCAACGAGGTCGTGTTTCGCTAGCTCCTTTTCGAGTTCGTCCTGGTTTTGGTCGCTACTTATTCAACTGTAAAGCTTTCTTTGGAGATTCTTGTTAAATTGAAATGTGTCGTCTTAAAGGTCCATATCTAAACCCCGCTCTCTGTTCTTATTTAAGGAACTTGCGTGTATGTACGATTTTTTTTTGTTTAAGTTTTGATGGTGTGGTGACGTTATTATTCATGCTTATAATTGTTGAGGTTCAATATTCTGTCTTAGTAAATGTTATAAGATCTGGCTATTCAACTTAGCTTTATTTAGTCCATGTAACGTAGTGTTTTGAGTTTTTGCTCATTTGAGTTACATCATTATTATGTTCAGATTCATCCTTTATTTAGATTATATGGATGATCCGATGATCCCTGAATTCTTCCATATTTTTACCTTATCCACTTTATCAAAATCTAATGCCTTTATTAGTACAAGTTATGAATTCAAACATTGATAGCAGAGGATCTGCTTAGTAATTCCTTTTCATGGCTATTATAACAAATTAGTAAATGTTAAGAGACAAGTTTTGTTGAGGTGATAAGTTTAAAATTGCAAGATAGAACATTAGATTCTTAGTTTTTCTTTGACTGTTAGTAAGTTATGAGTTTGAATTAGTAAGGAACGAATTGATTTGAGTTACAACTTTATGCAAATGAGTTTCGAAATTTGTTTCATGGATCTTCAATGCTAGAACTGTGATTGGAACGTTGGTTGTGTTAAGTTGACATGGGCATGCCATATTTTGCTTGGTACAAATAGAAAGATTATGTAAAGTTGGGAAAGATCTATTTTAACATTTACTGTTTTAATACAAATATGTTTTAGATGGTATTTTTAATTAATTGTTCTGTTATGTATTTGTCTATTAGATATTTTCTTGTTTTGAATTTTTTTTTTGTGTGTTTTATCTACAATTAGTTTTTCATAAATCTCTAAGATAGAATAGTAAGAACATATTGGGCTGTAAATAATTCAAAGTAACTTGTTAATAATTCTAGCAACTAAAGCCATACACTTATTCCACAATTTCATATCGATAATTATAGCCTCACAATAATCTCAAACTTAGGAAAGAAACAAATCATGAATACGCTAGAAAAGTTTTAGACGCACTTTAAATATTAGCCCATGTGTTCATACCCGAACTTTGGATTGACATGCTTAAATAATTTTCCGCGTCTTGCTACCTTTAAATTTAAAATAATTATGTTTTAATCATGTGTACATTCCGTACCTTGGTTTAACATCAAACTTCAAAAAAGTACCTTGTGTGCGTACCGCATCTAGGCCAAAACAATTAATAAAATACAATAATAAATTAAGCGATAATAGGCATATCACAACAAGTAAAATACAAGAATAGCCAAGAATTGATTTAAGCCTTACATTAGTCAATAAAAGCGACCGTGCTAGAACCACGGGACTCGAGGAGTGCCTTACACTTTCCCCTCGATCAAAATAATCCCTTACTCGGTCTTTTATTTTCGTAGACCATAAATTAGGAGTCAAACCTTCCATTTGATGAGAGATTCAAATAAAAGGTGATTTGAAACACCAAAACTCAATTCCAAATGGCGACTCTAAATAATAAACAATCTCTTGTCAAAATATCACTTTAATTGGAAAAACTCCTCGTAACAGGGTTGTGGGAAGAAGAGGTGTGACAGCTCTGGCGACAATTAATTAGCATTCGAGCTTTTTACATTGGTTCTTGTTTGGCTTTTATCATATTTTGGATATTATTATGTTTGGGAGCCTAATGTGTTATTTGTCGCTTATTTACCACTTTAATATGTATTTGAACTGTGATATAAATTGTTTCATCTCTCGCACCCCTCTGAATCTTCTGATAGGTAGTTATGTTGTGTTTGCCTACCAACATCACAAACTTTCTGTCTTGAGATAAAGCCAGTTAGCCTACCAGCTTCTGGTGAAGGATTTAGTCACACATGTTTTATGCGGGAGAGCCGTTAGCTAGCCAGTGTTGTTCTACTACTAGTGACGCTTTTCGGCTCGGGTTGTCCGCCCGGGTAAGCCAGGTCTAGATACCATCTCCTTTAGGATTCGAAAACTTAGAAGAAGAAGCCACAAGCAACGGATATCTCTAGTAGGCTGCGCTTTATTTGCATCATGTGCATTGGATTTACCGGGACTCGGCACAGGGGCCGAGCCCGTCTAGAACAGGTACCAATTTTCAGACCAACATGTTCATTTTTCTGTGATATATGTAACATTATTTGGTAGGCTTTGCTCAAATGTTGACCAGCTTTAGGATAGATTAATTGAAAAGAGGAGAAAGAGAATTTCCTCCAAGTTTTCATAAAACACCGTTTTTTTAAAAATAAAATTTTGAAGTGCTCTGGTGGGTAAATCATAATTTTCAAAATGGTTTTTTTTAATTTTTAACCAAACCACACGGGTTTGATTCTCGCCACATGGTGAGATACGTAGGCAACCTTCATCGGGTTCAACCCCATTTTTTTTTTTAAAAATAAAAAAAAGGTGTCTAGGAATTATTTTTCAAAAAATAATAATAAAATATAGCCACTTTTATCTCTTTTGGCCAGTTTTGCATTGCGCCCGGTCTTTTTTGCCGAAATAGCCTTGAAATCTTCCTCGGAAGTGGGAAATGGTCGTTTTAACAAAAGAGGTCAGTTTGTACATTTTGTTTTACGTTCACTTGTTTTTACAAAAAATAGTCATTTTGAGTTTTTTATTTCATGATTATTTAACCCCTATTTTTGAGTCCCATAGTTTGGCTTTTTATTTTTTCTATAGAGTCAACCCGAGAAATCGAAATTTTTATGTGTCAATAATATATTTGGTTAAAGCCTAACCCCGCGTCTTGCTAAACATGTACACCATGAGTAGGAAAAGAGGTAAGTCTGAAAAGAGGCCCAGATCAGATGGATACCGGATTTTCTGATTGTCGGTCAGATACCACAGTTGTTGTGGAATTGCTGGAGAGAATTTGAGCAGCGACAAATAAAGAAGTACCTGGGACATTTGGTTCATATGATTACGATTAAGCCCAGGAGGGATGTGATCGAAGCTTTGATTTCGCATTGGGATCCTAAGAACAATGTATTCCGTTTTACCGTCTGTGAAATGACTCCAACCTTGGAGAAAATCGCCCATTTCCAGGGGTGGGGCCGCAATCTTTGCGACCAAAGGCCTATAGTACCAAACAGTGTGAATGTGAGTAGGTTTCTGAAGCTCTTGAACATAAATTATGGACGGTATGAAGGCTTAGAAGGCAAGTGGGTTAAGTTGGGGTTTTTGTTTCACTTGTATGGCCTAGAATGCAATTTCGAAACGAATGTTCGAAGATTGAAATCAAAGGAAGATAAGGAAGCATGGAAAGTACACAGAAGGTTCGCATTTATGGTGCTTTTTTGGGGCGTGTAGTTTTCCCGAAAAGGGAAGGACACATTGATATCCGTTTGGCAGGCGTAGTTCAGGCTTTGACCTCAGACATGGATGATTATACTTTGGTCCCTATGATTCTTTCTTGCATATTTCGTGCTTTAACTAGGTCTAGATTGGGAACACAAGACTTTCATGGCTGCAACATTTTGTTACAGATATGGTTTTTGGAGCATTTCTATCGTCATCCTACGATCACTGACTTTAGTGAGCTATGGCCCAATCATATTGATGATCACCAAAGAAGAACTGACGATTGTGACTTACCAAAAGGGATTGACGCCCAGAAAGAACTACTTTTTACCCTGCCCACCAAGCGAATCACTTGGAACTACCATTGGTTTTCTTCTAAAGAGGTCATCTGTGAGTCTGCATACCATTCTTTTTTGGTACTCATAGGGTTAGATGTTGTTCAGCCATATGCTCCACTTCGGGTAATGCGCCAATTTGCACGACTACAGGAGGTGCCACCATCACAAGATATGAGAAAGTTCTATTATGATTTTGGTGAATAGCAGCCTCATGACGAAGAAGAAATTATGAAAATTTGGTATGCAAGTACGGTCTCGGAGTTGAATGAGATGGCAGAAGACCAGGATCGTAGAAATGTGGTACCTGAATATATTACTTGGTTTCATGACCCTTCATAGTTTAGAGATAGGTTTGAGGGGTCCAACAGGAGGAGAAATGATCAAAGAACTATAGAAAGGCTAAAGGAGGAATTAGAGCATGCCCGGATAACAATAGCCCAACAACAAGCCGGAGTCGCTTAGATTTGCTTAAATATTAAGAAAGATTATCAATCTGCCTTACGGGTCATGGATAAAGATCTAAAGCATTCTAAAAATGAGGTGGCCCGGTTAGAAGAAGAATTGGCAGACACGATTGGTTTAGTCGGAGGAGTTGAGGCAAAACAAAAATGTTGAAATACATAAACTGCATAAAGACTTGAGTATCGTTGAAGAAGACAACCAGCAACAATTGGAGTTTGATCAACATAAAGAGTAGTTTGAAAGAAAAAGGGCCCATTGAATACGCTCAAAAGGTCAGCTTCACGCACATCTGGAAGAAGTGAAAAGGCAGAACATGGCTCATCAGCACGCAGATTTTGAGGCAGAGCGGCGCCAGAGCATGATTGAGAGAGGTGTGCTAAACCGTCGTATTTAAGAATACGAGGGACGTGAGGCTCAGATGGGACACTCCCTCAACACTACTTAGATATGGTTGCAGAATTGTCACGTGAATATGGGGCAAGCTAGAGAGCAAGTACTTCGATTGGCGGAGAAAGCGGCATATATGATGATGATGAACATCATCTAAACAATGAGAAAGTTGGTCAACAGGCACGTGCTTTCGTTCCACAGTTGCCGGCAGTGTTCCAGAATTTGTACGAGACTTTGGGGGGAGAGTGGAGGCCAAGGTCTCCTGAAGCAGACCATTGATGATATC